GGAATGCCCAAAAGTTCAGAAAAAGTAATAAAATAAAAGCACATTACAAGAAGCTCTATATTACAAATGGGGGTATCGTTTTAGAATCATGGAGTTGAGAATACCATCACGAGAAAAGAAACAACAATTTGGCAAAACAGGATGAATTGAAGACATTTTTGTAAGATGTATTAGCTCTAAGAGTATTTAGAACATATAAAAAAATTCTACATAAATTTGTGTGCCTGTGTAGTTCTTGCAGACTCTTTCATCGACATGTCATTCATTCTTGACACCATCTTGCAACAAAAAACAACCACTCTCCAAATTCAAAATATAAGGTTAAATGCAGGTATTTCTCCCCTCTCCCTCTCTCATGGCATTTACCTCAACTTTCTACTTCTACAATTAAATGCTAAATAACTATTTGTTATTCCCTTCCATCCAAAATAATTGATGTTTTAAAAGTGGTTCCATAACAATTGATGTTTCACAAAACCAAGAAGGTATTTAATTCTTTTTCTCAAATTTTCCCTTTGACACATTCCTAATCACCATGTTATTTATCTCAACTAAGAAAATAAAATTATAATTAAGGGTATTTTAGTCAAACCACTCTTAATTTATAGGAGTTAGTGAATTCCTTCATTGTGCCCAAGCCTAAAACATCAATTGTTTCGGACCTATTCCAAAACCTTGCTAACAGTTTTATCCAAACAAATCTTGGTGTATTAGTTTGATATGTCTACATAACTTCAACTATTTTTCATTGTCTCTTTCTTTGCATTTTCATCTAGACTTTCTATGTGAAATTGCTTCTTTTAGAAATGTAATGGGGAAGGAGCTTAGTTGCAATCAATTAAAGTAACAACTGTAACTAAGAGCAAAGAAATAAAACTGAAACAACTAACATATTAGAATTCGGTAAACATTAAGGTCTTTATTAGTTGGACCGTCACTCCATGAGTTCATGTTGTCACTCCAGTGAAAGGCACTGGGTAAATGGATCCATTATCTGATCACTTCTTAGATATGGTTAAGACAGATCAAGAACCAGATATAACTTTTATATTGTACAAAATTGTTAACACTGGTGATATTTACAGGTTAGTTCAAGCCACAAACTAGCAATAAGGATTCAGATTACAGAATACACGTTGCTGCAAAGAGTCATTCATCTTCTCTTGAAACTCTTCCCTACCCCCACCCCAACCTACCAAATAAGTCCTTCCTTTGCAATGACACCAAACATGAAATTATCTAGTTTCTAACTAATGCACCTTAAATTTTCTTCATTTACTGCACCTCAGAAAAACACGGTGCAAAATGGCCGCTATCTATACTTCTCCATTTGAATTAATACACATTAAGTTTCTTGTCATACTGATTGGCTAAAAACACCTGAACTATTAAGCTCTAAAGCAAACAATAAAATTCAAATTCACACACACTAGGTTAACAAGATCTATAAACTAGTAAATATCACTCAGTGTTACTAAAATGCAACTACATTTCTACAAAATATATTCCTTTCTCTAAGTATTTTCACTCAGCATTTGCATGGTCTAGACACAATTTATCATGCACAAATACCATGTGCACCCTAATCAGCGATATTTTATCAATAAAGTAATATAAGCAACAATAACGTTCTCTAAGTTCGAAAAAATCACTAAAAATTGCTCATTTGATTCATGTCGTTAACCAAAAAATTACACAAAAATCACCCAAACGGAGAGAAAGAGTTACAATCGAAATACAGCTCATTTCCGATTCATTCCAGAAAAATCAATCTAAAAAGGACTAAAATTAAGAGAATCTGCAGTAATGAGAGGCAAACCTGATCTTCAGACTCGCTGTGCGGAACGGCATAACAATTCCTAACGTCAACAGTACCATCAGGTAACACAGAACCGAGAAGAGTGCCTATGATACGCTCGGCTTGGTCAGGGCGCCTCACAAAGCAATCGCAGATGTTGAAAATGACCAAAGGATGAACTTTAGCCGACAAGCTCGCTGATGATGGCGAAAATTGCAACACTGTTTGATCGCTGGACGCCATTGTTGTTATCCACTGTGAGCGAGCAAAATACGAAGAACTGTAAGATGGAGAGAACTGTGTGTGAGTGAAGTTGCTAGGGTTTTGCGGATTGGAAAACACGGGTGAAGCTTTGTTTTGGGCCGGGTCTTCTTTTCTAACCCAAAAACAAGAGAAGAGACTATTTTGGGCTTTTTCTGGTACGGTTAAAGTTGACAATGGTATTGACTCGTTTGAACGGGAACAAGTTATTTTGAATTAGTTATCAGGGGATTGTTATTCTACCTTCAAATAGGATAAAAATAACACTATAGTTCTATGATAATTTATCCTGCGATTTATCCAACTAAACATGAGAGAAATTTGTCTTAAAATTAATCAGAATTAGTTATCCTGCATTTTATCCAACCAAATATGAGATAAACTCATCTTAAATTAATCAGAATTAGTTATCGTACGATTTCATCTCAACCATATATGAGAGTCAAAAGCTAGGCCTATTGGAACTATATCAAGATTAGAATGACAAGGAATATATGTATCAATATATAATTATAAGTTGGGCTCTCCTTTCCGCCCACCTCATTAATATCTGGAGGAAAGAATCCGAGGGTAGCCTGATTATTAAGGGACAAGGACACTATCAACAGGGTATAATTCTTTTTAATCACCCCGAATAATGTACAGTGCTTTAAATAGAGCACAGTAAATAATGCGCCAGACCACCTAATCAGTTGAACCGTTCTCTTATAAAACGGGTAAGCCTAAAATTAATTTCAAAATTAGTTATATTAGCCCTAAAGGTCTAAAGTTGAGAACTAAAAAAGCTTAACTTTAAAATCAAATTAGAAAGAAATTAACACAAGATAAAAAGGATTGCACTCTTTTTTATTTTTTAATGTCAATTCTTGGTACTTGGAAAAAGTTGCACTCTTTTGTTTGTTTGTATGCAACAATGGAAAATCAATCCAACACGTATATTATAAAGCGAAAATAAATGGTCAAAATTTATTCATGTTATATCAAATCAAATGAAAATATTATCATTGTCATATATTTTCTTCGATTTATTTTTCTTGATTTTTATTAGTAACAAATCAAGATTTTGAATGAGCAGAATCAAAATATAAAGAAACAAATATTTATTAGATAAGAATGGTCTATTTACATGCATAATTTATTAGACAATAAAGATATATATGCACAATTCTTTAAATGAGTAAATATATCCGTTTAAAATGGTAAAGTTAAATAATATATTTACTATCTTTTTTCGCTAATACAATTAACTAAATTTCTTTAAGAGTGCGATTCAATCCAAAAATTTATTTATTTTGAAATGGAGTACCTTCTTTAATTTATTATCGTAGTTATATATTTACACTTCCACTAACTTCAAAGGAGAGTTGACGAAGAGGCCTTAAAGTTTCTCTTGTGAGATAAATTGAAGCAAATTTAGAATTAAAATTTATAAAAATTTTAATTTTATAAAAATCGTGGAAGATAGGAATACTTTCTCTTTGATAAATGTTTGACGTTTTCTTTTTATCTTTTTAGATTTTTTAAAAATAATCATATTATATCATTTTTTCAAAAAAAAGTTAAAAAAATCCAGGTATTCGAACCGCGTTAGAATTTCAATTTAATTCGAATAACGAATTACAGAGTGTCCATTCAAAAATGAGGCTTTCAATATATCACTCTTATTCTTATACGTCATCTAATTGTTAGAAAATAAATAATATAAAATAAATAAATATTTTTAATATAATAGACAAATAAAAACAGACGAGAAAATATGTTAGGTGATGAACATTTTTATTATATAGTTAGTGGCGTACATTTAAACCAACAAAAATAGTTGTTTTTTAGTACTTACTATATAGGTGGAAATTTTATGTTTCTCTTATTGGGATATGATTTCCCCTTACGTGTATGTGACTCGGATTAGTACACGTTGCTATCATTCTTATCATGTTTTTTTTTGGTTCACTTGTATTTCTCTTATTAAATCAATGTAATTTATTTGTTAATAGAAGATGATAGAATTGATTATCTTGGCATAAAAATTCTATAGATTATCTAGTAGAAAAGATTGAAAAATAATTTTTTTAGATTTTTTTTATTAAGTATTTGATATCTATATTAGAGCTCAACTATTTCAGATTTATGTTGCATAGAGCCTCATTCAGAAGGGAGTACTTTCTTAAAAAAAAATTATTTCATAACCATAGTTCGAACCTAAAACTTTTAATTAAAAAAAGGAGTAATCTCATCTACTCTATCACATCATTTGATGATAACTTTCAAGAAGTTAGAAATAAGGCTAAAAGATATTTTTGAAATTTTAGCTAAATATAAATTATTATTTTGAAATAAGGAAATTTTGGAAATTTGGAAGTAATAAATTTAGGCATGATACAATTTTTTATTTTTTTTCCAGCTAATAAGTAAATACTTCAATTTTGAGTATGCATGTGTTTCAGTTAAATACTAACAACTTATAAAATACTCCTTCTATTCATTTTATTTGTCCACTATCTCAATTTTTTTCTTCTTTTTATTGTCACTTGAGAAGATAATTACTATTATTTTTCTATATCTTATCTTTAACATTAATTATTTATTGATCCAATTATTTTTCAAGATCCTTTTTATTGTCACCAGAGAAGATAATTACTATTATTTTTCTATATCTTATCTTTAACATTAATAATTTATTGATCGAATTATTTTTTAAGATCCATTACTACCAAATATTAATTAATAGAGAAATATGACAAAATAGTTATATCAATCCTTATTTTCTCAATAAATATATCAAATAAAAAATAATAATTACTTAATAATTTTTAAAATTTATGTATCACGTTAACTTCTGAACGAAACGGAGTGGGAATTAGTTGAAGTGTTTCAAGATCTTGAAACTCAAAAAATAGTTTTCTTCCTTTTTAGAGATCTAAATAAAAAAGTCCCCTTTCCTCACGGGTTTTCTGTTGTTTTTTTTTCTTTCATATTTTGTTTTGATTTGACCACTTCTTGTGCCTATTTTGTTCTACTTCCTCTCCATACATTTTGCCTATTTACTCTTAAATAATGACCAAAAAATAGGTATTATACTAATTATGAAACTCCAAAATTCTCTTCTTCTTCAATCCTCTTCTCCTTCAACCCTTTCTTTTCTCTATTCATCTCCAAAATCAAACAAATGGGGTCATAAAAATCCAAACTTTATTTGTAAACTTGTTCTTTTTAGCCCAAAGAAACTTAGGTCACAATATTTTGAGAAAAATGACTCTAAAGGTCATAGTAGCATACAACCATGTTGTTGTAGTTCAAGATTTGGTGAAGAACAATTTGATGGTGAAGGGATTGAAAGAGGGGAAAATGAAGGGTCTTGTGCAATTTTTGGGAGTAAAGATTCAATTTTTCCATCAAAATTTGAGTCTCTTGAGCCAAGTTTGCTTGGTATTGAGCCAGAACCACCATATTGGCCAGAAAGGGAGGTAATTTCATGGGCACATATTGAACAAAAAGCTAAAAGTTTTGGACTTCCATTGTCACTTAGAATGATGCAAAAGAAATATCAATGGGAGTCTGGTAGATTTAAAGACTTAAAGGCAACAAATTCTTGCACATCAAAGGCTTTTAACTCTATGGTGTTTATTATTGTGGAGTTGCAAACTTATGCATTGCATATGAGGGAATCAATGTGTAATGAAGATTTAGAAATGATTATTGATAAAGTGCAAGGGGATATGTATGCATCATTTGTATGTCTTTTTCGACAAGTATTTTCGCAAACACCAATGTTAATGATGTATGTAATGATACTCTTGGCTAATTTTAGTGTTCACTCTGCTTCGGGAGAGAATTGTGATCAAACATATCTAAAAGTTCATTATCCTGATATTGTTCCTCAAGATGAGTCAAAAGTAGTGTGGAGTGATGAAGAGAAAGAATTGTGGGATTCAATACAAGATGAAACTTTGAATATGAGGGGTCTAAAGGGTATTGGCTTTGATCATGAAGTCATGTCGAAGTTTGTTTCACCATTGTCAGTGGAGATTGAACCAGATAATAGTGTTGACTATTATAAGGCTGATCTTGTTTATCAGATGAATCTGACTCATGAGCCTAATAACACTCTTTTGCTATGCAATTATGCACACTTTCTGAAAGTTTTCGTTCGAGATAATAATAGGTAATTTCTTCAACTTCCCTTTTCTTACATAATATATGATATGATCTTAGATAGGAGGTTGTGGAGGAAACGGATTTGGATAGTAGGTTAGTAGGTAGTAGTGTATTGTCTCAATATTTGTCCATACTAGTAGTCTTAGTATTGCTCCTATAGTTTCTTTGTCCTATGATTTCTGTCACTGTTTGTCGTTTTTTGTACTTCCATTATCGAATTTTTTGCTGTAGTTACTGTTCAGAATGCCTTGGACTGGTTTTCCTTGAGCCAGGGGTCTGTCATAAACAACATCTCTACTTCTAAGGTAGGAGTAAGGTCTGCGTAAACTCTACTCTCCTCAGACTCTACTAGTTTGAGATTACACTTGGTATGTTGTTGTTGTTGTTGTCGTCACATAGAAAAGCCATACATCTAAACTTAAGGCTAGTACATCGAGCAACATAGAATTCTGTTGTGCCAGTGCACAAAGAAAGCACACAATGACTGTGTATACCTTTGGTCGGTGTATCATTGCTCAGGTTGCGTTAACTCCTTTTCTTATTGTGTTAAAGAACATGGAATGGAGAATTAGTTCCTCTGTGACCTAATATTGTAGTTCCTCTTTTTTCTCTAAATTTTCAAAAGTTGCTTTTTGATCTTTGCAATCTCTCAAGTTTCAAGAAGAGTAAGCAAAAATCGGGTTATTGAGTTTGCATGTTCTAGCCAGCCTAGTTACATTATTGTTGTTTTTGACAGTGCTACTCATATTTCAATTATTTGAAGCCCATTCCCTAGATTATAGTTTGCTGATGCCAAGATTTTGAAAAGATCACTTGAGCAACTTTTGGAAAATTCTTGGCGATCTTGGGAACAACACGATTTAGTGTTGAGATAAGTAGCATCTCAGATTCATAGCTTGGAAATGGTACTATTAGACATCGGGCGGAGCTAGGAGGCTCAAGGGGTTTCATTTGGACCCCTTTCGATATAAAATTATACTTTATATGAAAAGTTAAAATTATTTTTATGTTTATATGATAGATGTTGAATCCTTCGCTTCTTCTTGTACAACAACTACAACTACCAAGTGTAATTCTACAAGTGGGGTCTATGGAGGGTAGAGTGTACACAAATCTTACCCCTACCTTGGAAGGTAGAGACTAGAGAGACGGTTTCCGATAGACCCTCGGCTTAGGAATCTTACCTTCTTCTTGTATTTACTCTTTTATATTTTGAATCCCCTTAGTGAAAATCTTTGTTCTGTCAATGTTAGACATGACCTGAGATGTGCTTTTGGTTGGAGAATAGAACAGGGAAGACCTGTCCTTTTTTTCTGTTTGTAGTTTCGAACAACAAAACGAAACGGACACGAATAGAGAGAAATAGTTACATAGAGTTCATATAGTCAACCTGGATTAGTTTGGGATAGAAGAGTAGTTTGTTTTCTATAATTTCAGACGATGAGTCATTTGGTTGTAACAGGGCGGAGGAGTGCTTCAAACGGGCAGTCCAAGTGGAACCACCGGATGCAGAGGCCCTATGTCAGTATGCGATCTTCTTGTGGAAGGTTAAGAACGACTTATGGGGAGCTGAAGAAAGATACCAACAGGCAGTGGCAGCTGAGCCTAGGAACTCTTATTATAGATGTACATATGCCAATTTCTTGTGGAGCACAGGCGGCGAGGAAACTTGTTTCCTACCAAGTAGTACTTCTCCTATCAATAACAAAAAGGGTGAAGAAGTTTAGTCATAGAGGAAAAAAGACTGTTCAAGAAATGCATCAACTAAGGAGAAAATGGTGAGATTCCCATAACTACAGAGTGGAGAAGAAGTTCCTCTAGACGTCGACTTAGATAAACTTTTGTCTTGTAAATCACACATTTGAATAAATGCTAACGTGAATGATCGGTCTATTGTGTTTTTTCTGTAGGGAAATGGCTATATTATTTGTTCTTGATTTTCTATGTCTAGATTGAGTATAGAGTGATTTGCATGGGAGCTGTTCACCAACAACAACATCTACGGTTCAATACCAAACAAGTTGAGGTCAGCTATATGAATCTGTACTGTCAAAGGAAAGATCATAGTTCGGGATCAATTTTGTGGTCTATAATAAGTGAATTGAGTTCTCAATTTTTTGTAGAGCAGGGTATTTTCATCTATTGACAGACTTGTTATTATTAGTATATTTTTGTATTTTTGAGTGAGTTTGGTAAAAAAAACATAATCAATTGGGAATGTCTCTTCTTCTGAGGCTTAGACCAGGAGTCCTGTATGATTAATCATCATGTGATACTCCCTCCATTGTATGTTAGCGTACATTTTTTTTTCCTTTTACACGTTTTTTAAGAAATATAAAAAATATATTATTTTAATTTTCCCTTATAATTATTTTTTATACATTTTGTTTACGTGTCTTATCAATCAATATTCAAATTAACGATGGAGGAACTTTACAATATTTATATTTTTTTAAAAAGAAATAATTTAAGGTACAAAATGGAAAAAATATAATTAATTCTTTTTTATTTTGTAATTTAACAAGTAATTTAAGATAAATATTTTTAGTAATGTAGACAAATAATATGAGACAAAGGGAGTACATTTATCTCATTACCCCTCCTCCTCATTATTATATATGTTAAAATTACTAAGATGTTCTTAAGGCTATTTACAAAATATATAAATTCTAAAAAGAATTTTACCTAATAAAGGACGAATTACGGAATAGAATACAGGATAATTAAAAGTTAGAATTTGGAAGTTCCATAAGACGACAACAATAACATATAGTAGGATCAAGATGTATATGGACTTTACACTTACTTTTTATACGAATAGATAACTATTTCGATAGACTCTTGATTAAAAAAAATTACATATTATATTGGGATAAAATCATAACAAAAGAGTTGATTAACCAAAAAAAAAAAAGCTTATAAATTGAGGTATGACGAACTTATGATTTTTGATTGATTTTAACTTATAATAAGTATTATTTAGGTTTACCAAAATGTCGATAAATAAATAAAAATAAAAATGTACTTATAAAAGCTAATTTAATCAACCCACTTATAAGCTGCACACCCAATTATAGAAGGGGTCGTTTGCGGAGATGAGAAAATATCTCATGAATTGAGATATACAATGAAATTAATAATCTAACTCTCTCCCTCTCTCTCTATGTATATGAGATAACCTATTTAATTATTATAGTATAAATAGTAAGATAAACAATTTCAAAACTAATTAATATTCCTAACTAAATGTATTCTATCTCAAAACTATTATTCCTTATCCCTTCTATCAAACGACCCTTTACAAGTTAAATTTATCGCTCGATATATTTTTGGATAAAAGATATTTGATTCCTTAATGACTCAAACTTACAACCTTATAATTGAAAATGAGTAGTATTTACCATCCAAGCAACACTTACCATTTTTTTCAAAATAAGTCAATTTTACCTTAATTCAGGGGTATTTTGAATAAAAAAAGATAAAACAAAGGGCCTCTTTAGACATTATCTAGAAACACAATAAAAAGCTATAGAACCACCACAAATAAAAACTCAAAACTCAATTCTATCACTTGAGCTGCTGCAATGGCGTCGTTGTTAGTTGGTTCAGTTCCTATGGCTACTGTTCAATCCATGGCTTCTCTCTCTCCTAATTTATCCTTCTCTCGTTCTCACTCCGTCGCCGGCAGCGTTTCAATAGCGGCGGCGTCTCCTTCAGCATCAATTTCGTCTTTGTCTCTCACCGATTCAAATCTCCCATTGAGTATGAATCACATACCTTCGAATTCATGTTTGTGAATTTTGTGATGATTGCAATTTCAGTTCGAGAAATTGAAATAATTTTATTTATTTTGGATTTGATTTGAATTCAGTTTACTGCGGTAGAGGTGATAAGAAGACGGCGAAAGGCAAGCGGTTCAATCACTCCTTTGGCAATGTGAGTTCTGCTGCTTACTTTCTTAGCATATTTTGGTTTATTGCAGGATAACACCTCCTTAATATGACTTAGTTTCAGATTACACCCCTATATTTTACAATTAGGAGAAGAATCCTATATTTATATTCTGGTTTGATAGTAGAATAAGAACAATAATTTCGAGATAAATTACATATTTGAATTAAGGTATTAGCTTGAAGTGATGAGTTTACTATTCCATATAGAAGATGGATAAAATAATTTCATGAGATATTCTTGCTTATCTATTTAATTATTAAAATACAGATAGGGTATTCGAGTCGATTATAGAGATATATTTAAATATTCATGTCTAAATATTTTTTGAAACTGATAAATAAAATTAGTTAATATGATATACTAACTATCACGGTGGAAATATGAAATAACTTTTTTTTCCACATTTGATTGAACGTATTTTAGTTCCATATAAAATAATTCATTGATCAAATAAGATTTCTGGTGTATAAGGTTTTGCATAATTGATGCGGGAGTTTAATGCCTACAACCAAATGCTATATTAATGTTGTAGAATCTTATACTGAGATTAAAATATTCATAAATTTCAGACGAATTAACCCCTTATAATTTTGAAGATATATGTTTGAAACAATGAGATAAATTGCCTAGTGTTATTTTTGTCTCTATTGAAATTTGAATCTGCGACTTCATAGTTCTCAACCCACTTCATTAACCACTAACGTTCTTTTTTTATGTTCGTTAGATTTGCCAGATATAGCGGAAAACAATAGTTGTTTCAATAATTTTGATTGGTATTTTCAACAAATATTGACTGTATGAATTGGTTTAGGCAAGGCCAAGGAACAAGAAGAAGGGAAGAGGACCACCTAGGGTTGCAGCACCACCAGCAGCACCAAAGAGAGATCCATTTGATGATGGCCAAGTCGTTAAAATTGAAATTCATGACCCCTAGTTTTCTTGGAGGAGCAACTTCATCGTCAGCAATTTTTATTTTTATGTAGCTCTTATCTTCTACTACTTGTTTATTTCATCGAGTTATCGAAATTTAAATGTCGATTAAGTTAATCGTTGGACTGAGATTTCTAGTTTGCTTCAAGGGTCTTCGTTGTAATGTTCTTGTGTCCTGTTAAACTATGCATGTGGTTCTAGCAACCTTCAGTATACAAGTGGTAATAGTCACTACTTTAGCTATCAAGACAAGTGAAAAGCTTAGAGAACCCCACAAATTCATTTCATTTCTGTTAATTCCTTGTGGGTTGAAAACCACAAGGTTTTAGGTTCATATTCTAGCGGAGACAAAAACATTAGGAGGTTTTTTGGTAGAGTGTATAAGAATAGTAATGAATAGAGTGTATTAGTAATGCTGGATTAGTTATGTTAGGAGCTATTTCCTATCCACTATTTGGTTTGATATTTGGCCTTTACCAAACAAAGGATTAAATGATACCATAGCTAATACATGTTTTTTAGATTCTCTAATATGTCCTACCAAATGACCCTTAGGTGTTTTTATTTAGACCTCCGTGGATAGAATTACTCCATATCTGTGCTGGTGAGAGGTAACCTATACCTCAAAGAATTAGTCGAGATGTGAGCAAGCAAATCCGGTCACAAAAGAGCTTCTTTCGTTTGGGTCAACAAGTTTGTATGCATATTCAAATATGTGGAAAATTGTTATACACAACACCACTACAACCATAAACAACTTTACAGCAGGACCCAAGTTGGATGAACAAAATTTGCATAGATATTGGTTGAAGAAAATGCTGGTGTTGATGTACAGGTTAAGCTAAAGGACAAATTAGAAACCAGCTCTTTTTTTAATGACCGAGAAATCCTTCCGAGTCCAACCTTTTAAGACCAATTGCAACCTTCAAAACTCGGGAATAATGGGTCCACCCCTCTACCTTCCCCCACTTAAATACTAGGGTTAGTCGGGATGGCATAGGGCTTGAGCTTTTGATCTAAGTCACAAGTCCCTCAACCTTTGCCACTTCAACCAAGCTCCGGCGCTAACTAAAACCAACTTCTTGACACAGTAATTGTAAAGACTCCTAATGAAACTAAATCAAGATGCTGAAATTGACAAAAGAAAGCAGGTGGAAGAGAAATTTTATTTTTCTGATCAGTTTCAGTTATAAGGCAACATCTAAAACTACTAAATAGGCTGAAATACTTAACTTGGCAAGTATGTAGATGTGAGCCTGAGAAATCTAGCCAAAAACCAAATCTCTCGGTATTAAAAGGCTCTCATCTGTAGCATATTTCATTCCAAAAAGAACCAGTTCTTTAATTCCGCGAGAGAAAGTAAATAGATATCTCTATGGCCATATCATGCAATATCTTGTGGTATCATGAGACACTATTGTTAATGAAACTCAGGATTTTTCTTCTTCTATTATACAACACTTCAGAGTTTTTAATGATGTAACTAGAGGGAGAGCTATCTAAAATCATCTCAGCGACATAATGCAACTCTGAATGTTATGTAAAAGAAAGCCTTTCTTTTTGGTATTCTGAAAGACGTAATCAGCCAACCTACCCCTGTGCACAACCAAAACATTAAGGACGAGAAGAAAGAAGAAGCAATCTGGCTGTAATGGTAAGGACCGCCAAAAGGAAAATGCTCATGGCACATGAAAATGAGAGTTAACCCTCACCTACAAAAGAATGTGGATCCAAATTCACATGACCAATCTAAACGAGCTACTATAAAAGGACCCAAATGAATATATCACCACAGAGCTGAATTAGAAAGTGCTAACCTTGGAAGTTAGGGTGTCTTGGACTCAACCAAGACCACCATAATTTGGTAGTATACATATTTAGAAAGACACATTTATACAAGTTGAAATCCATTTGATCTTGTGCGAAATGGGAATAAATGTGCATTAATACAAGTTAGAATCCACAAAAGAGAAACGAAAGATTAACCAATGAGGGAAGCACACTCAGGGCTTTGGTCTAATGGTAAATGCAGAGCGTGATGTGTGTTAGACACACACCACAGGTTCGAATCCTGCTCCAGACAAGCATGGTACCTCTAGAAATCTAGAAGGATGGGCCCATTCTCCACCGAACTTTGAACTGTCCCCCATTGACCCTCGAGGATTTCTCGGTTACCATAAAAATAAAAAACTAATGAGGGAACCTGTCTTAAATGCTAGTAAATCATGATGTAATTTTGCAGGAGACCTTAAGAGACGAATATTGGGACATGTTGAGTAAAAAAGAGCAACATCGCGGAGTAGCTCGCGAATGCAAGAACTAATATAGCTAGAAACTAAAATAAAAAGTTCACGGGACAGTATCAATCCCTGGATTTCCTATTCTATGCCATTATGTAATGGTGGGAAACGATACAATCTATCCAAACATTATATTCATCGAGACAATACAATACAACACAATCCGATACATTATGAAACGATATACAACAACCATCCAAACAAACTGTTATATACCTCTAAAGTGCCATCAGAATTAGGTAACAAAGTAAGATAAAATCCTTAACAGGTCAAAAAAGCAAAGGAGAAACTTCAACTCACAAATGACAGCAAATTTACAAGATTCATAATTCAAACAGAGTACTTACAGCTTCAAATACAAGAAATTATATACTCAATCACACTACGAACATAGAGAAAATAATTAATTTCCCAAAAAAGCAAAGATACACGTACCATAATTTCATTTCCGGCTATCATTATCATAGTCGAGAATTTCATCACGAGTAACAGATCTAGAGTGCTGCACTATAGACCGTCCGATCGAATTGATCCAATCCTCCTTCTTCTCCTCAGAATCAGCAATAAAATACATAGTATCGGACCTAGTTGAAAGCTCAAACGCGAATTGTTTATTCAGAACATCTTCAGCTCCTTTCACTGTTAGGCAATTAGCCACCGGAACAACGCCACGCGGTTTCGATCCTCTATTGATATTCGCTTCCTTGAACCAAAACAGTTTCCCCTGTTTCAACACGAACCACCGGCGACGCCAGGTTTTTATGTACTCGCCTTGTTTTGTGAGCCAGCCGGTTCGTTCAGGGTTAACCCAGAATTCTACTCCGTCGTAGTCGTCGGTTGATGGAGTTGTGTTGTCGCCCATCACTGCTCGCCATAGACTGGCCATGGGTGATGTGATCGAAGGAGAGAGAGAAAAGAAAGAGGAGAGAAAAATGTGAACACTAGACAGGTATTATTTGTTATTTTTCCTTTAGAACATGTGGAGTAATTACTCGCTGCTCCTCCGTTTTCAGGTTTGGGCCCTTAATAGAAACCACTTCCTTCTTAATGAGATCCTACATGGCATGAGTTTGGAATAATCGAACTCCAATACAAGGGTATCGGACTTGATTCTTGATATATTTTCCATTTTAATCCATTACAAAATATTTCGTACCTCAATTTATATAACTCATTTTTGTCTAAAGTAGAACCAAAAAAACATATTTTTATACTTAATAACAAATTAACTTTAAAATATTTATTTTATCGTTGATGATGAAATAATTTATAACTATACAAATATCCGTTACTTATTTTAAATCACAAATTTCAAAAAAAATCCTTCTTAAACTCTATGTTAAATCAAACTACAACATTAAAAATTGAATGGGATGAATATTGAATATGGGGTTTCGAACCCATAGAGTGGAAAATATTTTGTTGGAAGTACCGCCTCCAAAAATGATCATATAATGTGTTATACCAAAGTTAATCGGGCTTCGATATGAATATCAAACTTCAAATTAAAAAAAAAATGGATTTAGTTTATACTACTATATGGAGTACTAATTTATACATACTGAACTTTCCAGCTTATACTATTTTATTGTCCTTGTAGGTTTGAACTTAAACTGTCCTTGACCATAGATTTTGATAGTAATTCCAAAAATCTATCTTCAAATATCTACCTGGCCATGAAATTTGAAAGTAATTTCAAAGACTTCCATTCACAAACTTCCAAATTTTTCGAAGTAAAATGCATGCCCAAGTACAAGTAGGAACTAGATTAAGGCACATTACTGCTTGTAGCAACTGGGGAATCATCTACTCACTTCAGAACCAGCTTTTTTGTTTGCAAAAAATGGTTCTAAGCACACAACATAACTTACGAGAATAGGCTGGCTTAAAATTTCATAGCTAACTGTGCATCAATCTTTACATAACGTGGGAGACCATATGCATTGATTTTTCCCAGGAAACAATTATAATTCAAGCACCAAAACTCTCATTCCGGCACTGAATCAAAACTATAATTTTATAATCTTGCACCAGCGAAGGGCAATCATTACCTTCCATGCATATAGGCAGGAGATCGAACACCTTTAACACCGCTAATAGCATCATCAACTTCACTCCCATCAAGGCACACTGTATTGTTATTGACACTCACTTCAGAACTAGCATTGCTGCTCGTAGCAAGTGGGGAGTCAGATACACTCACTGTCCTGGTTCTGTTAGGTCCTGATCTTACACTGTACATGGAGGATGCTGGAATATTAGTCATTGATGGACGCAGATTTCCGGAGATGCTTCTCCTTATATCCTGTGAGAGAGGAATGTTCTCAATTAAGCAAAACCTTAGAGCAAAAAAAAACAAGGATGACGATGTGCGGAGCTTCATAGAGCTCCAGCAAGACCAAGAGAACATACTTTTATACTTGTAAAAAGGGGAAACTACCCATGGTCACTATACATGTGTTCAAACTACAGAAAATTATCCCAAACAGGAAGTTCTCATTCTGAAGATCACCATGTTGCATTAACACAAGAAAGACAATATCTAGAAATGCTGCATAGAGAACGTTCATGACCATACTCTGAAAAGCCTATCCAAGCGAAATTTGTGTATTAATCTTTGCCTAAATAGCAGCATGAAATGAAATATACATACCATATGCCTCATAGCCATGTCCAAGGATTTCTTTGACAATGTCCTTCCAAAACCTGTACTGTCAGGTGATGCAGAGTGCGCATATAAGTTATTACGGGGAGAATGTTTATTATCTTGCTTTGCAGGAGGAGCCAGCTTCCGCATATTTATTACCCTTTCAACCATCTTAGTTCCAACCATACCAGGGCTTACATTATCATTAGCTTTAGCATGTAATCGACTCATAGCTGGAATAGGAACAGAGCTCCCACTGCTACGCACAACACCATTAGGAGGGCGTCCTCTTGCTGGAGAGCAAGATTGTCGTCTAACCCTTCCATTTGTAACTGGCTCAATGGATGAAGATCTAGCACTTGGTGCTCCAGGTCTACCCCTTGTAGCTGAAGTTGGCCTGTCAGATAGTGATGTCCGTAGATTAGGTGGAGCATCATATGAGAGCCCTGGGATATCTGAAGGCTTCCATGGTCTGGGTTTTACAGTTGGAGAACTAGGACGTGAGGCTCCAGGATTTCTTGCCGTAGTGGTTGCTGGTGTTACCGAAGACGGAGATTTAATTGAAGGAGCAGTAGCATTAGCTGTACTGGACACTGAAGTAGGTCGACGAGTTGGAGTTGCTGCCCTTGATGTGGACTTCGATCCAGGAATGGATGCCCTGGTTGTGAGTGTTGAGGAGTTTCTGGTTGGTGTTGAGGACCTTGCACTGGACCTGGCTGTAGGTGTTGAAGATCTTGTAGGAACCGTGGACTTAGCAGAAGGCAAGGTGGAACGAGAAGTTGGTGTTGAAGACCTTGCTGGCCGAGACGTGGTTGTGGTTGACATTGTTTTAGAAGTCGCAGTGGATGTCACTGCTTTGGATGCTGCAGTAGATGTGCGTCTAGTTGCTGATGTCAAGGAGGATGTTGCACTTAATGTGGGTCGTCCAGTTGGAGTTGAAGGTCTTGATCCACCAGATGAAGATGGTCTTCGAAGACCTGAATTTGAAGTATTTAATCCAGCAGCGGAAGCAGGCTGTCTAGATGCTAAATTGCTTCTACCAGAGGGCTCAGGCTGGGGATTTGCTAACTGCATCCAGAATAACAAGTTGCATAGTAAATCAGTCCATGGTTCCCAACAAATTCAAGTTAAGACTGCCTAACTGGAAGCTCCAACATTCCATCTGAAATTCTTAATTTTTAACTGGGGCAGGTGGTTAGGGGTGGACATTAAAACCGATAAAAAGGGTCCGAACCGAATTAAGTCAATTCTTCAGTTTTGATTCTTTGGGCTGTTTTCAGCTTTAATTTTTCAAAAGTTCGGTTTTTGGTTTTAAGATATCAGTATTTTAGTTGTGACCGAAATACCACCAGTGACAATGACTACTGCAGCTGCTCTTAGTCGTGTTCAAGAGCAAAATGCTGTGGCTGCTGTTCTTCGATAAGGAGATAGAGTAATCAGTAAAACCATTTATTACCAGCTAGAATCCTCCTTGCCCGAGAAATTTATCCTTTTAAGAAGCTATAGTCTATTTTCTTTCAGTTTCCAGATTATGACAAAAATAGGTTGTCTCTGGATTGTGTTGCAAATATATATAACAAAGAACTGTGCTAACTGTAGGAATCATTTTCTTATGTTCTCATTTGTCATGCATTTCACTAATAGCCAATATCATCTAACTTTTGAAGCTCGACAAACAAAACTACGCAATATGAACATCAACGAGTACAATGAGGATGTGTCAATTCTAAGCAGGGGTTGCGAGCATACTACCGTAGAACCAAACTAACCATGGATCAGTATTCGGTATATACTATTGAAAAACTGAAGACCGAAGAAGAACATACCCTACAGGCTACAGGTGGTAGGCAAAATTCTGTATCTGTTTACATTTTAGGAGAGCACGTACTTTGTGATTAAGGGGTAAACAAGCCTTACTACCCAACAACAATTGCACTCCTAGAAATTTACGTCTGCAAAAGGTGGTGAAAACTTTGAAAGATTGAGCAATGGTAATTCCACATGCTAATGAGAAACTTCAAAAAGGAAATGCACATGAGTATATCGTGTTATTTGCTTTAATAAATTCATTAAGATTACTGTGATATATCAACAAAGATGATTTCGTTGCTAATAGCATTTGACTAAACAACGGAGCCACCATGTGTGTTTTGAACTAAAATACCTGCAAGGTCCTTTCTACCTGCTTATAGAACTTTTCCTTTTATTATGCTTCTTGCAAATCTCTACATCCCTTCTACTGGTTGGACGTGTAGTGAAAATAACTTGAACTCATGAAAGATAACATTTCATGTATTAAGCATATTATCATATATAATACTCAACCAAATTACAGAAAATGCATTATTTCAGCAATCATGGAGTAAGAAAAGTAAAAGTAGTATATTCTTACTCTAGATCTCAATGCAGTTGGACGAGCTTTAGCAGTTCCCAGCTGACTCATCATTGATTTTTCCGACTCCATCTCAAGTGAAGGAAAAAGAGGAGTACTTGGAGGTGTTAGAAGCCTGAAAGACAAAAATATATGAGACCTGAACACACAAATAAAAGACAGAAGCAGATACTCTTTTGATACTGAATGTTGTATAAGTGTGGCAAAAGATCATCCAATATCAGAGGTCTCGAGAAGCCCTTTCTCTTCTATTTTGAGCTTTTTTTTTGATTGATTGATTGCGTGGGGGTTATAGCACCCACTACTTTACTTGTTTGCATCAACATTTTGATATACGAAATTCATTAGTTGAACTTCAAAATATAAGTAAAAATGAGCTCTATATACTAAACATGTTCTCTTGCTACTCATGATGTCTAAATGAACATCAATTATAAAACGCCCTTCTGTCCCAAATAGTTTGGCACGATTACCTTTGAAGGAATGCAAGTAGAGGTAATACTAAACTGCAGAGCTGTGACATAGCATGACTGGAGGATGTGATGTAAATACTGCAATGTGGTGCTTAAGATAACAAATCCGTTTAATTGTCAGTTAGCTTATTAGGTAGGCGTTAATTTGCAGATGTTTGTTATTAGTACACTTGCAGTAAGAATTGTTAATCTAAAGCAGTTATATTTCTCTCCCACTCACTGGTTTTTCCTTACTCTAGCTTAGCTGCGCTCAATGGACTCTCATTGGTTGTCACCGATTTCTGGATTTTTCATTACCATTTTGGGAATCAAACTGCTTTTCCTTTGACTATGATTCGTTAAATAAGTTCTAATTATTTTAACTGAGAAAACAGCCAAAAGCCCCCTAACCTATATCCGGATTTCCAACTACACTCTTCAACTTCACTTGAGTACTATAACCCCCTGAACTATTTAAAACTGAAACTACATCGCTCCCTGGGGGTGATAGGACTCAAGTGAAGTTGAAGTGTGTAGTTGGAAATCCGGATATAGGTTAGGGGACTTTTGGCTTTTTTCTCTATTTAAACTACAAACACTTGTGATTTGTAGTACCTTTATGTAGTTTCCAAATATGCAATTTTTATTTCTAAACAATTAAAAATTCAATGTCTGAATTCACACAAAAATTAGACAAGTCTCAATTACTCTGAAGCAAGCCTTTTTTTGGGGGGGGGGGGGGGAGAGG